AGTTGTCACTGTCAGCTTCCATGTCTCTTCATCCCATTCGGGTTTAGAAGCTGGTGCATAAACACGTGGACAACGTAACACTCGTGTGTTGCACCACGTGGGGTGATGTTTGGGCAACTGAGGAGTGGTTTGTCCCCGGGGAGCTGAGGTGAGTTACATTGAGAGGCTTAGTCAGGTCAGTTGTTTAAAAAGAATTTTGTGGGGTCAGAAAGTTGGCTCGACAGGTAGAGGTGCTTGCCTCAGACCTTCCAACATGAGTTCAAGTCCTGAGACCCCCTGGGCAGAAAGAGTGAACCAACTAAATGTCACAGGTTGTCTTCTGATTCGCATACATCACACACACATACATGTGCACACATATGCACACACAAATAAATGCAATAACAATTTTAAGAAATGATTTGAAAAGGTCTGTACATTACTCACCTTGTTTAAATGCATGCGGCCCAAAAATGTAGAAATTTTTAGTTTAGAAATAACAATACCAGTCACTAGTCTTTTGTAAAGGATCATTCTGGTTAACATATTGGGTGTTAAGTTGTCTGTAATTTTAGTTCACATGTATGACAAGAAAGAGAAGAGAAATATGTCCTACGATTTTGCCACAAACTGAAGGAAGCTTTAGCAGATAGTGGTCAATAAGGACCATTAAACCACAAACTCCTGGGAACACCTTGTGATAATACAGCTGATTTCAAGTTCACTCAGGCACACCTGTGTTTGCTGGGTTCATGCTGATTAGCAAAGCACACAGTGCCTCAGACCCAAAAAAAGTTATTCTGGCTGGAAGAATATTTCCATCGCAATGATCAGGAACACAGGAACATTAGGAACCATGTGAGCAGATGATCTGAGCTCTAGCACATAGCAACTCACAGCAGGGCAAGCCAAGATGTTAGGAAACACATATGGAGATAATGAAGAAGAAAGTTTAACATGCAAGTTAGACCTAATGAGATAAATACAGTATTTACATCACTCAATAGATAATCTATTACCAACAATTAAAAATATTTCCGTAAAAGTGCTAAAATTTTAAATTCAAGTATGAGTAGAAAGTTTGTCAAGAATCTTTGTCTTGGTATGAGTGGGGGCCGTGTCTTAGTGGATGAAATGTCTTGGTATGCGTGGGGGCCGTGTCTTAGTGGGTGAAATGCTGGTACAGATCATTGAGGACCTGGGTCCAGATGCTGCTCGGCAAAGAAGTCACACGATCATTCATGTGTACAAATCCCAATGCCGGGACAGTGTTAGAGACAGGGGTCTCCTGGGGACTGTTTGTCCAGAAGGCCTAGGGGAAACAGCAAGCTCCATGTTTCCATGTTCAGTGATCGACCCCGTGGGAAAAATAATGTTGACAGTGAAGAGGAAAATGATGGATGGTCTCTGTGCTCTACATGTACACACACACACACACACATACACATACACACACACAGACATACAAACACACACATACACATACACACACACAGACACACACACACACACATACACATACACACACACAGACACACACATACGAACATACACACATACAGACACAAACACACACATACAGACACACAAACATATACCCACCACACATACACACACACCACACACACACACACCACATACACATGACACACACACATCCAGACACATATACACACACCACACAAACAGCACACACACACCACACACACACATACAGACACACACACCACACACACAGCACACACACACCACACACACATAAAGATACACACACATACAGAAACACACACATATATGTACCACACACACCACACATACACACACACCACACACACACACACAACACACACACAGACACACAGAGCACACACACAGCACATACACACCACACACATACATAAAGATACACACACAGACACACCACACACACACACAAACGCACACACACACAGACACACACACATATACACACCACACACACACACACACACCACACATACATACCACACAGACATATCACACACACCACAAACACACACAAACACACACACAGACACACACAGATACACACCACACAAACAGACACACCACACATACCACACATACCACACATCACACACACACCACACACACACACACACACAAACACACACACACACCACAGACACATACAAACACCACACACAAACACACACACACAAAAACACACACAGACGCACCCACCACACCCACCCACACAGAGACACACACACCACACACACACACCACACACACACACACACACACACACACAGACACACATTCCTCATAATGGAAGAAAAGTAACTAAGCCCTGATCAAAAGACAAGAAGCCCTCCATTTATTTTTTTAATTTCTCAACATATATTTATATGCAAATGACAACCTAGCATTAGGACACCAGGGACACACTCCAGGCAGCTAGGAATTCTACACACACCAACCACAAGGGCCTTCGGCCATGAGCTTTCTTCATGGCTAGCTTAGACAAAACTTGCTCAAGACCAGGTTGATCCATCTACGAGAAACACGAGATTCCTTGATGTTGACATAAACTAGATAAAAGGTACCCGTAAGAAAATGGATTTGTATCTTTTTTTTTTACCATCTGACTAAAGTGGGAGAGAGAGACGTACAATCTTCCCCCTCTCCCTTTGCCTATGGCCATTCTATGATTCATGAAAATCTGTAGACAGAGACCAGATCATATCTAAGTGTGACTGTGAGTCAGATGAACTGGACCTCTCCTGAGAGCTTTGTGGTATAGGTCCAACTTTGCCCCTGCTCCGTCCTGAAGAAATATTTCTGTTGGAGGCAGCATGCTTTCTTTTGATGGGCAGGGAACAGAATTCTCCCATCTTCTTTTAAAGGTCAGCTTTCCATCCCAACAGCTGCGTAACTGCCAAACACACTATAATTTCCCAGTGAAATACGATGACAATGTGGTGGAAAAGTGTGGGGTATATCGCATATGTTGTGTATATAGTCTGTTCCACCTCCAGAACTTCAAAGCAGAGGTTCCCACCAAAGGAGGGACGTTTGCATCCCTAAGTAAGAAAGAAATCACCCTGGGCTGGCGATGGAAGAGGCTGACAGGATGTCACTGGAAGCAGAGGATGCAAGGTGTGCTTGGATGGAGCTCCCCCTAATGTGGACACTCATCCCCGTTTCAGAGCTTAGTAGATCATTTCTCCCTTAGAGTACATTGCATTAATGTGAACAAGCTCTGGGGACCCATGCCAAGCTTCATACCCCATGAGGAAAGTCGGCTTGAGTGTGGGCAGTGTGGTAGCTTGTCTGTGTGAAAGGGAGAATGAAGGGGCTGACGTTGCTCTCCTGTCCCTGGGCCATTTCAACAGACAGCTTTGCTCTCTGCAGAGTCTGCAGTCACCGGACACATGTGGAGCCTGTCAGAACTCTAAGGTAGTGGGAGGGGCAGTGAGTGAAGAACAGAACGGGCCCTGGTCGTGTTTGACTCCTTATGGAACAAGAGCCTCCCAACTGATTCCACTGACGCAGATTTCACTGGCTCCCAGGAGGAGGAAACTGCATCAGGTAGAGGATGGCAGGATACAGGCAACCAAGTGTGCGCGGCTCCGGTCCAGGCTGAGCAGTCAGCGTGCTCTACGCAGGAAATGTTCGATTCCTGCTTCAGATCTTCCTGGTCTGTGTCAGATCACATGCTGTTGTTAACATCCCAACAGACTTAAGACTCGATGAAAGTTTGCCTTCTGTTGATGTTGGCCTCCATCTGTAAACTTTCAGTGATGAAATTATATTTTCTAATGAAGTACGGGTTTGGAAAGGCATCTGGACAAGCAGTAAAGATGCACTGGAAGCATTTGTAAGAAGGTTCCCAGAATGCATGGGAAAGGCCGGGCTTCATACTGATGAATTTAATTGAATGAAAATTATAAATAGGAATAACATCCCAAGGTCTAGAGTCAGTCTCCTCCCTAAAACTTATTTTTGGAAATGGAATCACATGATGCTCTTTATGTGTATTGGATTCTGCCACTGATGATGTTTATAAACCAAAACAAAATGTTTAGAAACTATTCCTGAAGTAATTGCTTATTTTAGTCCCGAAAAATGAAAAATTCAGGTTTGTAACCATCTAGATGCGTCCACCATTTAGAATGACTCTCATGATACTGAAGGTACTAGGTATGGTGTTCGAGGAGAATTTTCAGCCATTCATTGTATCATTTACCACATGGTCAAGACATAATTAACCTAACAAGATTTGTTTAGTTGTATAAGGTAGCATAAAAGTTATGGTGGCAACCAGAAAGTATTGTTTGATATAAGGCCAAAGATGCAGGAGGTAATCCATGTGCTTTTGTCTAGACAGTGAAAAATATATTCCTGAGCAAGGCATAGGTTATAATAATGAAGCTTTAATATGATTTGTATTAAATGGCCATGATGTGCTTGTCAAGCTACACTCTAAACATTTGTGTTCAAGCTTATAGACCCCTGGAACTGTCACCTGTTGGCGGAAAGAACCATTTGCAGTGTTTGATGGTTACTGGCAGAGACTGGTGTTTGGTTAAACTGCTGAGAACAGCTGTTACCATCACATAGCGGCCCATGATCACAAGGCATCATATGTGATTTTTCTCCACCTGAGCACTCAGGGAACAAAGTAGAGGACTTGACACAGAGAATGTAAGAGCCTGAACTGGGGGGCTCGCGTTAGGGAGAATGTATTTTGCTTCTGCTTAAAATGACAGTGATTCATCATGGAATAGAGGTAACTTTTGTGATTCGCAAAACAACTTGGAGCCTAGGGATGTATGGCAGTCAGCCAGACAATACGCATAGAAAAGGAACTGTGGAAAATGTAAAGAGGATGTTATTAATCCCTGAGGGCAGAGAGTCACTATGCCCTCACCTGGGCTATGGACATTGGCTTGTTCCTGCCAACCAGCTCAGCTTGGCTTTGGGGACTGTCCGCTAGTATATATAGGAGGTGGAAGTTTAACTGAAGTCAGGACTCAGGAGAAGCATCTTTCTTGAACTGGTGACCACACTGTGGTGAAACTACTCAGAGATGCAGCTGCCTTTGACTCAAGCATGCTCCTGTAAGTATCTCTTCATCCATGTCCTCCAACGAAGGTTCGTTGTTTTGTTATCTTACCAAGTTGTGTTAGGATAGCATGCTATATTGTCATTGGTGCAGTATCTGTGGTCATCCCATGGTGTTCATGCCTCACAAGGAAACATGGAGCAGAGAATCACTTTCTAGGACATCTTTGCTTTGAGATCAGTGGTTCTCTTGGAGGAATCCTCCTTCTGCTGGAGACCTTGACAAGGTCCAGGGACATTTTACCATTGTCTTAATTCACATACAGGAAGAAAGGGGACAGTGTCACTGATGCCTAATGGGGACATTGGGTAAACAGCTTAGATTACACAGGGTACTTCCATGAAGATGAAATAATCCAGCTCAAAATGTCCATGTTGCTGAAATGGAGGATTTTGGCTTTGGGTAACTCAAGATTAAATGGTCTAAATGGTTCAATAGCACAGGAAAACAGCAAAAATCCTGAGGTTGCTCAGTCTTGGACGTGCATATGCTCACTTAAGTCAACTTGAATGAACTTTCAGCTGTGGAGCCTTATAAAGACTGTGATATCCAGGTTGTGTTTACTAATTGGATATATACCAAATAATATTGAAAAAAGACAAGAAGCCTTAACCTGAAAAGTCAACTTTACTTTGTAGCTGATATATCAAAAGACAGTAAATTAGTAACAGTTGCAAAATTTATTTTATAAAATATAAATAACCATAAAGTTCCTAAGACATTAGGTTATGGGTGGTGAATTGTGCAAACGTTCTGTTTCAGGATTCATTTAACCTTCAAACATTGCAAAATTCTGAGGAATTCTGGAGCCAGCCCAAACGGGGGAAGTTCTGAAAACCTCAAAGTATGGATTGGGAAATGTAACTGTTTATCTAACTTTGGAGTACAAAATAGTTATTTACCTTTGAGTAATGCAGAACCCTGTCATGCAGCAGAGGTCTTAGAACGGAAAAGGATTCCTCAGGCAGTTTAGCTCTTGCAATCTCATTAAAACAGAACATCTCAGTGTGGATCTCTCTTCATAGGGTCATTTCTCCTACTGCTGGCGTCACACCTGCTCCTCTGGGAGAATGCGGCCTCCATGCCACGGGTCCAGTTGTCCACTAAGGACCTGTATGAACGTTTGATCATTCAGTCTCACCACAACCATGGCCTTGCCATACTGGTGTACAGTGAGTTTGTAAGTACCTTGCTTCTTCCTAGTTTGTTCTCAAAGGGAATTTCAGAAACCTTTACAGATGGAGGGAGAACGTATCATGAAACCAGTTATGCATGCAGTAATTTCCTAGGTGATA